CACCTTCCTACCAAAATCCTTGTAGACTCTAGCGATTCTTTTAAGGTCTCTTCTGATCAGGAAAGGAATCTTGGAGTCATGGTGGAGATCTCAATGACAATATCAACCCAGTGTGCAGCTGCTGTAAAAAAAAAGAAAAAAAGCAAATTATGTGCCTGGGATCATTAGGAAGGGAAATGAAAATAGAAATGCTAATATGCTTGTACAAATGTATAGTGAGATTACACCCAGAGTATTGTGTATGGTTCTTGTCATTGTATCATAAGAAGGATAAATGTTATAGAGCAAGAAATGGTGCAAAAAATAGTGCAACTATGTCCCCTGTGAAAAAGACTGCAGCAACTGGGGCTTTTAGCTTGAAATGAAGGAAAGTGAGATGAGGCATGATAGAAGCATATAAAATCTTGCATGGCAGAGGTAATGCGGAGAGAGAAAAGTCTTTTTCTCTCACACAGTTAAAACTCAAGGTCCACTGAAACTAAATGCAGGGAGATTCAGGATCAACAAAAGGAAATACTCTTTCACATAATGGCTAATTACAATGTGGAATTCAGCGCTAGTAGTGGTAGTAATGGCAGACAATACGTGTGGCTTTAAAAAGGACTGGATGGACTGAAGGAGGATCAGGCTATCAATAGCTATTAACATTGATGATGGTTTATGCCTCCTGAATCATAGGAAGCATGTCTGGAAAATTGTTTGCTGGGAAGTGACAGTGGTCAAGGACTTCTTGCCCTCCAGTCCAGGCTTGTGAGTGTCCCAAATACACCTGGCTGGCTGTTGCGTTCTCAGGTTCTCAGCATAAAAACTTCTCAGGTTCTCATGCTGTGATGCCTTTATTTAAGCGATGCAACCTTGAATCATCCTAGAAAAGATGATCACGTTTTACATGGAGAAGAAGTAGTGGTAAGACTCTTTTATAGAATTCTAGCTTTCATTCTGTGTCCCTGCAGGTGGTTACGCTGTCGGAGTATGACCACGTTGAAGAGGAAACCAAAACAGGTGCTAAGAAGTCACCATCTCCAGGCTACCCTCTGGTCTGTGTTACCCCTTGCGATTCTCACTTCCCCAAGTACTCCGTTATGAAGGAGCGCTGCAGTGAGGCTGGGATCAACCAGTCGTCCATACAGTTCAGCTGGGAAGTGGCTACCCCCACTGATGGAAATGGAGCCAGATCCCCTTTTGAAACCATTACTGACAATACCCCATTCACCAGCGTCAATCACATGGTATGTCTAGAGAATCGAGCTGAGCCACACCATCAGCAGAATCGGGGTCGGGGGGTGGTGGGTTTTGCTGGGCTGAACCCCTTTAGAATACAGGTGATGGTGATATTCTGCATGTTTAAATGCTGTCTCTTAAATAAATTATGAACTGTATGGCGAACTAGAATGTCAGAGAGTAGCTAAACATTGAGAAATGAAATTCTGCATTCTCCCTGGTAGCAACTTCAACTCATTCCCTTTCTAATCAGTAATCCTAAGGGCACATAATTTAAATAATTGCAAATTCTTTGTCAGTTTTGCTACTCCTCATCACCCTCCAGCACTTGATTTGCCACTTCCTTCCTGGGCTTCTGTTTTCGCCACTTCCCTCTTCTGTTGTTTCCCTTGTGTTGAATTTTATCCTGTAACCTGTCCTGGGCAGGATCTGCCTTTTTGCACACTTCAAATTTTCTATGCCCAATTACAGGGTTATATGAAAAAAATAGCAAGTCTTTCCAGGTCTGCAAGGAGACCATTGTATTAACCAACTTGCTCTTTGTAGAAACACAATTAGTTTACTATCCTCCATAAGTTCTTACTTTATTTATTTATATTGGAATATCCAAACAATGGTCCCATCCCTGAGGGTGGAGGGTCATTTTCCTTATACAGCTGCTGGACCACATATATCTTTAATGCTTTAAGCGTTGTGGGCCTGCAAGGAAGAAGTGGATTCACCTGCCATTTCAGGTGTGCAGTTCCACTGCCAAATCCAAGGGAGCCTGGCAAATTAGTCAGGACCATGTATTATCAAGGCCTCAGATCTTTGGGTCTTACAGCCTCAGCCTCTTCTCGAAAGTCATCCGCAAGAAATCAGGTCATATCTCAGCCATCTCTTTCCTGCAGCCTGTTGCCTGGGGGAGAGAGAATGAAGCATTGGAGAGTAAGAAGAGAAAATGGAAGCCGTCAAAATGGAAAAAGGAAGTGTTTCCATTTAAATATATATTCCTGAGCCCACTGTAAAGCAAGGCTTTAGTTTGATTTAAATAAAACATTGTACTTTCTTTACAGTTCCATCTTATCTGAAGTAAAAAGCTGCTAATGGATGAAGTTTGATTTCTGGTTTTTGGCTGCTTGTGTTATGGGAACAGCGGAACAACTAGGAAGCTAGTGAGGGTGGCTGACTTAGGGTTACAGCTAAACTTGGTTCACTGCCTTTTAACTTAACTATCTACAATAAAGAGCCAAGGTTTATTCTTGACTTACAAAACAGTTATAAATAAGGAAACCTTTGACTAAGGCTTGTGTAAACTTTCATCTAAATAAGGATTTATTTATCTCATAACAGTTCCCAATGGTAAACCAGAGTTTATTCTTGGCTTTTGACATATGAATGACCTTGGTAAGTTTGCTTAAACGTCAGCAAACAGAAAGGCAATATATGATAATCATAACAGGAAACAATCATGAAGGCTATTGCGTGACTCTGGTGTTCAGACCCACTCAGCATTCTTCATCTTCCTCCTTTCTCTCTTCTTTCCTTCCTCCTCCCAGGTGCTGGACAGCATTTATTTCAGCCGGAGATTCCATATTCGCTGTGTGACCAAAGCCGTGGATAAAGTTGGCCATGTGGGCACCCCCCTGCGGAGTAATATAGTCACCATTGGGACGGACAGTGCCATCTGCCATACCCCTGTGGTGGCTGGTACAGCCCGGGGTTTCCAGGCTCAATCTTTCATTGCCACTTTGAAGTATCTGGATGTAAAGCATAAGGAACACCCCAACAGGTAAACAGCCATACGTTGCTGCTGTGCTTGAAAAGTCTGGCTTTTCAATGAAGAGCAAGAGGACTGGTTAATTTAACTCTGTTATCCTGCATGATCGCTCTGCAGTGAGATGGATGGTGACAAATTCAGGAAAAAAAAAATGGATGGATGGATGGATGGATAATGTCTTCTGCCAGTGGCACAGACTAATAGAGTTAAGGGGAGCCTCTGTTTGTGGTTCCTTTAGCATTTTATTCAGACCAAGATCCCTACTTAGATTTTTCTCTAACAAGCCACAATCATAAGCCAAGAATAAACTCTGGTTTACCATTGGGAACTGTTATGAGATAAATAAATCCTTATTTAGATGAAAGTTTACACAAGCCTTAGTCAAAGGTTTCCTTATTTATAACTGTTTTGTAAGTCAAGAATAAACCTTGGCTCTTTATTGTAGATAGTTAAGTTAAAAGGCAGTGAACCAAGTTTAGCTGTAACCCTAAGTCAGCCACCCTCACTAGCTTCCTAGTTGTTCCGCTGTTCCCATAACACAAGCAGCCAAAAACCAGAAGTCAAACTTCATCCATTAGCAGCTTTTTACTTCAGATAAGATGGAATTGTAAAGAAAGTACAAGGTTTTATTTAAATCAAACTAAAGCCTTGCTTTAGAGTCGACTCAGGAATGTTCTCCTGCCAAAGTGATTTTCACAGAAAAATAAAAAGAAAAGAGAGAGAATGAAAACAAGAGGCATAACCAGCTACCATTTAGTAGAAGAGAGACAACACTTCTACATTTTTTCTGCAGATATATAATAATGCAGGAAGGATCAAAATATGAAACGGCAAGTGAATCCATTTCCAGTTGCTTCCTCTTTTTTTTTTTCTTAGCGTTTCCAATCACTCCAATAGTGGAGCAATGCTGATTAAATCTTTTTAGCTAGAGGAGAAAAAAGAGAGGAAAAGGAAAATATTTTGGGCGATAAAATGTGGAAGCTAATGTCAGAAAAAAGATTTGATTAATATGTTACATTAAACACACTTAACCTGTTAGATTTTTTTTTTCAAGGATCATGAAATTGTAAACCTAAAATCCCTTAGATGCTATTTTCAGTCTTCCGTCCCTTGCCTGGTTATGTTGGAGATGACCTCAGGCCCCCCATCTTGTCCCCAGTTCTCTTCCACCTCTCCCAATGTATAAGGGGGAAAAAATCCAATGGAAAGATTTATCTAAATGTGGGATTTCTTTTACCAGCAGCTTGAAGAATATGTGTGTGGTTCCAAATTGTGTAGAAGACCACACAACATGCAGTGATTTGAATGGGACTGAGCCAGATTCGATACAGTCTTAAATTCAACTGGCTTATAGATTAGAGCAGTGTTTCTCAACCTTGGCTGGCTGGGGAATTCTGGGAGTTGAAGTCTTAAAGTTGCCAAGGTTGAGAAACACTGGGTTAGAGTCTAATATATATACCATTATATTCTCTTAATATGTGCACTTATCCAACATAACCTTCTAATTTCTGCCTTTCTGTGTTGTTCCAGAATCCACATCTCAGTGCAAATTCCACACCAGGATGGGATGCTCCCCCTGATTTCAACCAGGCCTCTGCACAACCTGCATTTCCTTTTATCAGAATCCATTTACAGGCACCAACATGTCTGTTCCAATATAGTCAGCATCCGAGACCTTAAAGGCATCTCAGGTAAGAAGTTCTTGACTTCTTCAACACAATGTAGGATCCTGGTCTTGCAGAAGCCCCTCACCTTCTTTTAGATTGTAATGTTCAGCTGATCCAGGTCTCTGGGCCATGGCTGGCCCTGGAGAGTACAAGGGAAGAGCTTAGTTTGAAAAAAACAGACTCTCCCACCACCCAAAACAATGCCCAGGTCTGGAGGAGAATGGCATATTCACCCCAGGCTAAAGTGCCTAATAAGTGGACAGCTGACCCCACCTTCTAGGGGTGTCATCAACTTAATGGTTAGGTTATATATACAGAAAAACCTATGTTGGGATAAGAGGGAAAACACTACTTCAATGTAAGTATAGCTAGGGATTATTTAAGATTGCCACAAATATGGACTGAGAATCAGATGAAAGCAATATCATGAGGACATCATAAAAAAGAGGTTGCCATGCATGTTACTGCCAGAGACAGATGCAAATGAAAAAATTGTCTGGGTTGCTTTTTAGCCATCAGATGAACACATTCAAGGACTTCTTGCAACTGGGAATGTGGCCTTTTTAGAACCAAAAACAAATCAGCCTAGGAGGCATAATGGTGGCACCACCAGTTTATGAGAACAAAAGCCCTCTTATCTGTCAGTAGATGCTGTTCTCCATCCATTATCTTATAGCAACAATACCTGGTAGTCATACCTAAATTTCTCAGGTTTTCTTTCTCCCACATTTGTATTTTTTAATCTCAAGTTCTTTTCCATCTTTCTTACGGCGACCTTTGTGGATTTGAGTTAGTTCTCAAAATAACACAACAAAGCAAAACCCAACCACCAAATTCCATGAAAATGTAGCAGCCTAATTGGCATCAACAGAATGGTGTATCTGTTGGTAATTCAACCATAGTTTCAGCTGGGAAACTGAACACCCTAGACCCAGCTAAATCCAAAAATGCTAGGGAATTCCTGGAAGCTTGGCATTCAGACAAATCAGCCATCAATAAACACATAGAGATAAACCACATTTACACACTATTCAAAAGAGACAATAAAAAAAAGTTAAGAAAACAAAAAGACTATAACACAACACCCAGATAAGCAGGGATTAACACCAGACAAACAATCAAGCAGAAAACAGTACCCTAATCAAGGAATCACCAAGGGTGAAACCACACCCCCACCAACATTGGCACGGCAAGCTTCTGTATATAAACAGGGAGAAAACCCCACATTCACTAGCACTGATGATGTTACCTAGCCAGGTAATGAAACATCTGCAAACAAACAACCAAGCTCAGAGAGCACCAAGGACTCCACGGTATATCTATTTGCAGCAGAGACAGGGCCACATTTTAGCTGCCAGTCACATAGCTGTTAAAGATGAGGATCCTATCAGAAAAAAAGATGAGACAAGCCTCTAGAGGCATCACATAGCAGATTCAAAGAAACTTAAAACCTTCTTACTTGGTTGGATATGTCAGTCAGTTTTGCTTTCTCTTTTCTTTAACTTTTCTTTCTATCCCGCTTGCAAAGAAATCAGTACATTTGAGTGCATTCTTATTTTTTTTAAAAAAGTAAATCATGTGGAGTTCTTTATTACCCACCTATAATTGCTAAATTACTGTGAGATAGGCTTCCTAATTGCCTGGAGCTTGGTAGTCCCAGCAATAGACTAAGGGCGATGAAAGATAGACAATGGCAATCCCACGTTTGGTGTCGATCAACACCTGCAACTTTCTGCAAAATTAGATGCTCTAACAATATTCTTTGTGTCCAATAATCAGTTTACACCTGAGTCTGAAGACAACAGCTACTTATTTATTTAACAGAGATCTGTCAAAGTCTGAAATATATTCCAGCAGTACCAGGTTGGATATGGCTAAAGTATTACTGAAAAATTGCTGTGTATTCCCTTGCTTCCAACCCAGAAGCTGGATTTCTAGATGAAGTGACCTATAATAATATCGTTCTGGGCCCTGGATATGACCGGCCATACCAATTTGATCCCAGTGTGAGAGAACCAAAGACCATCCAGTTTTACAAACATTTGAACCTGAAGAGTTGCATTTGGACATTTGACGCATACTATGACATGACAGAGTTAATTGATGTCTGTGGGGGATCAGTCACTGCAGACTTCCAGGTAACGCTTTCTGTATAGGAAACACAGAAGTGACATTGGCTTGGTTCCTAACGTAAATTAAGCTAGAGGGTCATAGAACTCTAGTTGTTTGGCATTTTAGAAATATAAGCAGCTTAGCAAACAATAAAACTGCCTATCATCTTCTTGTCCATGCAGCCATCTCTGTCCCTGAAAAGCCTTCATGAGGGGCTGGTGTCAGCCTTATAACGTAGACCAGACGAATAGACACCATGTAGACCTAAAGCTACTTTAATTAGAACAGCTGTAGTAACAGAATCTTGCAAGTCTGAATTTAGTTCCCTTCCTCCCTCTTTCATCTTCATGTGAAGCGGGGGCTATCTGGGCTGAGGCCTTGTTTATCTGATCATTGCCTTGGCAAAGGATCTTCCCTCTGTCTTTCAAGGCCATCCTCTGTACTCACTACAGCTGGAGATGCCTTCTTTAACTGTGCCAAATGCAGGGCAAGATTCAGGGAGAGAATTGCACAACATTTAGAAATCACTGGACCCATTGACTACACTGTCTCTAGTGAGTAGAACTCCCTCCTGGCTTTAACCAAGGGACTCTGAAGACCTCTTCATGGATTTTCCTAAATGCACAAGAGCTAAAAACTGGGGAGGGAGCTGCAAATGCTGGCCGCCTTCTGTAAATCCATGTGCCCCAGGCCTTCCCTGACTAAGCTCTCATGTTCTCCCAATTAGAAGTCTGTGGATGATCAGGGGCTGCTGTGTGTGTGAAGAATCCCGCATTAAACGAATGGAGGTAGACCTTTCTTGTTCAGGGTGGCATATAGGAGTATGTCAGCAGCCCGCAAGCATGGCTCCAGTTTTAGCCCTTTTGCATTCAGCAGAATGCATGGAAAAGTCTTTTGCGATATTCAAGGAGTGAAGGAACTAAATTTTCCTGAAATATTAATAGCTGTGAAAAACCTCTTCACCTAGCACCTTAATTATGATCATTATCATCATCATCCGCTACCAGGGAAAGATAAGAGGGCCTGGTCATGCATACTTATTATTAATCAGTAATAAAGTAAAGTGATAAGATTTCCATTTTCTTTTATTGGTTCTAAATTTCCTTCTCTGGAACAGGGAAAGAGATAGTTCGGTGCTTCATATGTATGAGAAAGAAAATGTCAAAAGAGCTCTTCCTTCCTTCCTTCCTTCCTTCCTTCCTTCCTTCCTTCCTTCCTTCCTTCCTT